ACAGTCACGGGACCCACAGGCAAATGTGACATCGTCACCTTTTATTAGACAGTTATGCTCCTGGTATGAAAGAATCTCAGGGCCACTGGACTGGTATTCAGGTCAGCTTACCTCAGTATTGAAGACAGTATTTGTAATGTGGCAAGGATTTAAGAGAGATTCAGGAAGTGGGTGGGCTGTCATCTCAACACTGTAAGGAAGAAGGAAGATGTCCCCAGTAGGGTTCAGATTGAAGTGTCCTTTCAGAATCAAGTGTCCTTTGGGGTGGTTGGAAATGGTGGAGGCTAGATAGTCCTGAAGTTAACAGAATCTTGTCTGAAAAGATATGAGTGCTGACTGCTCTCCCAGAGGATCTGGGTTCAATTCCCAGTAACCACATGGTGGCTCACAACCCTCTCTAACTGCAGTTCCAGGGACCCCAACACCTTCTTCTTGTCTCCACAGGCACCAGGCATACAAGTGACACAGAGGCTACAAAGAGGCAAAACACCCCCATACACATAAAATTTAAATTAAAAAAGAAATTAACAGAAAAGATGTCATCCCAGATTTGAGCTTGAAACTTAAAGGAAAATGCTGAATTAATGGTATTTCCTTTAGGGGCAAAAACTTGTCTTACCTGGCTAATTTGGGAGAAGCACCTTTTCTCCATATAGCTTCAGAAGAGCAAGGCGAGGGGGCCCAAGGTAGACCCGGAACCCCATGGCTTCTCCAGGGGTTGGAGGTAAATACATGAGGTTGACAAGGTCGCTGCTGCAGCACAGGCAGCCTAACCACTGTAGGGAAGTGGGGACAGTGGCACTGGCAGAGGGAGCCTTTTGTTTTCTGCTGCTAAGGCTTATAAAACACGAGGTGACAGGAGGCTTATGCAGATTTCCTAGCTTTGGGTCCAGAGTAGATGTGACAAGATGGGAGCTGTATTGCGGCGGCCACCTTGCCTAAAAGCAAAGGGCAGCGGGTGAGTCAGGGAGATGAGATGGGAAGGAAGAAGAGCCAGTTCAGAATTCACCAGCAGCCAGCGTGCTGCCCCTGTAGGACCCTCGGCCTCTCCTGGCCTCTGACTGCTCATCTCTAGAATTAGGGTGATAATCCTGACCTCGGAGTGCTAGCTTTATCAGGTGAGACTCTGTGAAGCCACAGAAGAAAGGGCTAGCCACAAACGACGGTGACAGCAGTGACAGTTATTGAAAGTCGGTTCAGAACTTGGTCCATTCTAGGTGCTTTATATACCTTGTTTCAAGGAATAGGTAGTTGGTCAGTTGCTCTTAAAGATCCCTGCATCCTCATCCCAGGAGTCTGTGGATGTCACACTAAGTGGTCAAAGAGGCCTTTAAAAATGGGACCGAATTAATGATCTTGTGAGCAGATACATTCTGTAATTACAAGGTTCCTTAAAAGGGATAGTAGGCAGTCATCGTGAGATCCTTAGAGGTTGGAGTGCCGCAAGGAAGGGGCCATGGATCAAGGAATGTAGACAACCCCTTCAAGCTACAGTAGGGAGGAAACAAAGCTCCACCCCTAAAGACTCCTGAGAAGTACATTCCCGTGGACCCATTTTCAATTTAGGACCTCCAAACGATTGGAGAAAAAAAAAATCATGCCAACAAAGTCATGGTCATCGGAGCAACAGGAGCCTATACAGATCTCATTACTGAGGTCACACTTGCTTGGATTCAAGGCTTGACCCCACCCCTTGCTTCCATGGGGTAATGAGAAGAATTGATGTGAGTGTTGGGCATCACTCTCAGGTTCTCACGATGGCTGGGTCAACACTTTACCAACGGAGTCACCTTTCCACCCCTTCATGAGAAAGATTGAATGGTAGGATACAGAGCCATAACCCAGAGCCCATCTCCGTATAAGGACCTCATGATTAATATCGGGGATGGATGCATCTCGCTTATTCACTCCCTGAACTCTGTGAGATCATTATGATTACCCCTGTGTTGCAAAGGAGAAAGGTAATGAGATTCAGTACCCACAGTGACGTGGGCTATAAACGGCAGAGCCAGACTCTAACGAGGGCTCTGCCTTTGCAGCCCTTGCTCACCAGGGCTGCCCCCTCTGCACTGGAAACCTCATGCCAACTCTCTCATTGAATGCCAGATGCTTAGGCAGGACCTAAAAGCCAGACGGAGTGCAGTGTTCCCTCCCTGGGCCAAAGCTGCCAAGACGAGAAATCAAGCGAATCTGTGTTTCTTCGCAAAACCGCCACCGCAGCTTCCAGGGCAATCAGTGTCTGAGAGGTTAGCAACCTTCTGACATCCCCGGGCCAGGCAGCCCCAAGCAGCAAATCATGAGAGTGTGGATACTGTGTTTAGCCATTCGGGTTCTGGAATAATTGCTATTATCGTAAATGTTTTATAGCTCTCATTACGGCTCACATTTAAATATCAGTGTAGTAATACGTTAATAAGTCATTGCTGCTGGGCCACTGCTGGATACAGCTCCAGCTGAAGCCTGAGTGGTAGCTACCCTGTATCTGCAGCCAAGTGAGGGCTGGCTGTGAACTCGTGGGATCTGAACCAAGCGCTTGGTTGCTCCCTTCCTGGCTCCGTACGTTGTATGTGGCCTTGCACGTAACGCTGTCCCCCAAGTGTGGGGCGGAATTCTGAGATGAGGGGAGAAGCGACAGCATTGCTTCTGTCCTGGACGTTTTCCTGATGCAGTGGAACTCAGCCTAATGGGCTGAACTCTTTCCTAGTATTGCCCAATAAAATACTCCAAAGGCTTCCCCGGGTGGTCAGAGACAGGATACACACACGTGCACACACAAAAACAAATTAGTGAAGGGAGAGCTACACAAAGGAGCCAAAAACGTTTCCGCTTCTGAACTTTTGAGGCACACAAATGCATGTGGTTGTAGATGGGTGTACTTGTCTCTACTGCATACCTGACATCGTGCCAGACCCACGGTGGGTATACAGTGGCTAGCAGAGGGTGCAGGAACAAGAACCAGGCTCTTTTCTTCTGTGTGCCCCCTACCTTCCTCCTGTTGGCCAAGCAAGTAGTGGAGAGACTAGGGCATTGGAGGAGTAGATTTGAATGACAGGTGTGATCACTGGAACCCTGCTTGGGACTAAGGTCACAAGGGTTGAATAAGTAATCAGCATGGAGTGACAATGTTTGGGTGAGTGCTCTTTCCCTTTAGAAGGCTGGAGTGGGGGCTAGACCACTGCAGGACAAGCCAAGGCTAGATTCTCTCCAATGCAGCCAGGAAATTGATCGGCTCTGTTTACTGAGCGCTTACTCTATGCCCTGTGTCTGTAGCTTGCAGAGAAGACACTTTGAGAGAAAGGCGGGCCTCTGAGTTTGAAGCCAGCTTCATATGCAGAGCAAGTTCCAGCAAAGCTAGGGCTATGCATTCTTTAGCCAGGCAGTGGTGGATGCCTTTAATTACAGCCTGAGGGTGAGGGGGCAGAGGCTGGCGAAGCTCTGAGTTTGAGGAAAGCCTGATCTATAGATCAAGTTCCAGAACTGCCAGGGCTACACAGAAAACCCCTGTCTCAAAAAAAAAAAAAAAAAAGAAAAAGAAAGATGGAAGAAAGGAGGAAGGTGGGGAGGGAGGGGGAGAGAGAGAGAATATATTTACCAAGAGCCCACAGCACCGTCTTCTTACCTAACAGTGGCTCCTCCTTGAGCCACTACAGACCAGTGGTGGCCTAGAGGGGCGTGGGAGAAACTGGGTGAGAAGAGACAAGAGAGTGAGGATCTGGAACATCTCTGGAAAGATCAGAGCAAAGAAAGCCCCAGGAACAAGTCGGCAGCAGGAAGGAGCAGACCAAAGGCTGGATCCAGTTCTTGCTTTTTGGAATGCAAAGCAAGTGTGCGGTCGGACCTGGAGACCCGGGTTTGTCCTTCCCAATCCAGGCCACCTCCCTAATGTGTAGTCGCCTACCTGAACTGCAGAAGCCCCTGCAGAGATTTCCCTCACTGCAGCGTTCTCCTGGGCTTCATAATGGGCGTATCTAATGGGTAAACCAAGGCAGGACTTCCTTAGACCCTGATTCCAATTCTCGAGCAGCTGTATTCCCTTAGCTCTGTTTGTCCAGCTCTCATCTTTCTCTGTGTTTTTCCCTGCTGAAGGGACTAGCTGGTGCTAACATTGCCCCATGGGAACTCCATCCATGGTCAAGGGGAGTACGGGAAATAGAGTTGGTCCCTCTTGGGATAAGTTAAATTACTCGTGAAGGACCAGTAGATGCCTGGGAAATACAGATGAGCCTATCGAGATAGCATCATGTCTAGTGTGTACAGGGAACAAAACGAGAATGGGTTTGGTGTGAACCCACCCGCAGAGCTGAGCAGCAATGGCAAAGCTGGGAAGTTGCCTCCCTGGCTGCAGCTCAGCCTCTTCATCTGTAACAAGAGTGTAACATCTCCTTTGAGGGTTTTGTACTCCCAGTCAAAAGGGGTCCATCTTCCCCCTCCCTAAAAGAACAGTAGCTGGCATGTACTGACTTAACCCAGTAAGAATTAAAGACGCCGGAGCTGGAGTAATGGCTCAGCCACTCTGTGTATATATTGCTCTTGATGACGACTCAAGTTCCTCTCACAGCAACCATGCCAGGCAGCTCCAGGGCTATCTGATGCCTCTGACCTATATGGGCACTAACACTCATGTGCACATGCCCACACTCATATGCTTACACATATGCAAAATACAAGGAATCTGTCAAAACAAAAAGACTGAAAGATACTATAATGAGGAACTCATCGCATAGCAAGATGAAGTCAGGGATTTATTGCTCGTGGATGGTGGGGAAACGGACATGAATCAGGACTGTAGATCTCTCTCTCTCTCTCTCTCTCACACACACACACACACACACACACACACACACACATTGTCTGGAGAGTTTTCTCTTGTCTCTAGACACTTGGAAGCTCTGGTTCTTAGTTGTTGACTATTTGCTTTACAACCACACCCATTCCTCCCCAATGCTTATGAACATCTCAGTGCCCCTTGTTCATAACTTCCTTTTCCTCTGTCTCCTCAGCACCCTCAACAACAACAACATCAGCCGCATCCTAGTCACCAGCTTCAACCACATGCCGAAGATCCGGACTCTGTGAGTAAAGACTCTGCCTCCTTCCCGCCTGTCTCCTCCCTTAAGCTTCCCCAGGCACTGCTGTCTCTGCCTGTAAAACCTATCGGACTGTGAATGGGCACATGGCTCCCATATCCAAGGTCATACAGCAAGGGGGGACTTTAGTGGGTACAGGCAGGGTCATGGTGCAGCCTGGATTCCTACCTGCCATTCTGTGCTAGGAAAACTCATTTCTTCTCACCCCTAACTGTGAGAAGCCTTCCTGCACCGTGTTTGCTGTGTTTGATAGAAAATGTGTTAGTTTTATGTTACCAAGTCTACTTATTTAAAAACAGAAAACTTATACAGTGACACACCACGCACGCACAAACACACACACGCACACACACGCACACACACACACACACACGTGTGTTCGCGCACACACACATCTGCCATTGACTTTACTCATGCCGTATCTCATTGGCAGTTCTGTCATAATGTGATTTTCCTTTCTGGGAATGGAAAAGGAATCTTTGTCCTTCATCTGTCCCACCAATGTGCCACCTGCTCCATGCTCCTGCTCTCTGGACTAAATTTGGACATTAGAATGCGCTAACTTAGGGCCTCCTCTTTCAATGCCTTGGATAAGAGTAAGCCTTCGGGTTGGGTGCTCCAGAAGCATGCCCATGACTTGTATTATCTGGGGCACTCTACATTCCGCCAGAAACCCATCTGTAAGTTTTCTGCAGTAGAGCTGCTTGGCTTTTCCAAAAAGGTCTCTGCTTGATGCTGTTACCTTCCAGAGTGTCTGCATCACAATAGAAAATGAGAGCCATTCTCTGACAGCTGAGCCAAGTCCATTTAGGGCCAAAGCAAAGAACTGCAATGCCCTCCGACCTTAACTGGCTCTCTGACCGCTTTTCCTTCTTTTGTAAATATGGCTGGTGGTGGAGTGTTTGGAACTAACCATGCAGTGCCCAGCACCCGGCAGGTAATAGATAGCATTATTTATTATCTCCACCATTACCTAAAAATCTGGATTGACCATTGCAAGCTCCTCTGTGCTCCTCGGGCAACATAAAATCCTGTAAGCAGTTCTCCCCAGACCACAGCTCAGAACCATTTGGAACTTTTCCAGAATCAGAAGTCCCAGGCCCAACCCCAGGCCTACGGGGTGGAGACCTCTTAGGGTCTTGCCCATACATCTGTTGACTGTAAGCTACGTGCTGTTCTAGTTTGAAAGCCACTGAACTCCTCACTGGTAAGAGTGAGCTTATCTCTAGGTGAGAGTAAACAAAGACCAAGGTAGGGATGTACAGGAAAGCAAGGCAGAGCATTTTGGAGTGGGCAGATCCGAGTTTACATGCAGGTGCCACCACTCACTGAGGACACACCTTCATCTTTCTGTGCTTTGGTCAGGGTCTTAGTAATACATGCCCACACTGGAGTCACTGTGAGGGTGCACTATGATATGCGATGCGGGACGTGCCTATTGTGGCGTGCACACAGTAGTGTTAATTATTACCAATAATTACCATCCCAGACCAGTCTCTTATCTCTGCTCCCAGATTCCTGTTGGATACCCTCAGATGACAGCACATCTTAGGAAAATAAGTAACTTTCCCTCCCTCTGAGAACGGAGTGCTACATTAATAGAATTTTAAGGAGACACCATTTCGTCTTCTGAGCACCCAGCCAACCTCAATTAAGCTGAAAAGGCCTGGAGCCCAGGTTCCAAAACGGGAAGTCAGAAGTGAGCTTCAGGGTGCTGGGTCTGTTCTCCCAAAGGAGTGGGTACCCAGAAGCTCTCCCTGTGGAACCCACCTTGCAGCACTTCCTGACACTTCCCCTGTGACAGTCTTCCCTCTGTGTCTTTTTCAAATGACTGATCATGACCGTGACCGAGGGAGACTAGGTCCGCAAGAGCTGAGGGAGGTGGCTAGCTTAGGCTCTTGGGTACCCTCTTGGGACACGTTGAGGAGGAGAAGTGGGTAAGTTTTATCTCATTTCGCTTGTGATTTTTCTCGATGGTAACAAATATCCGTCTAATGAGTTCAGATCAATCCATCAATGTCGTCTGTCCCTTTGCTCTCTCTGCCTGCTGCCATTTTCTCTTTAGTTTAATTCAGAGATGGCTCAGTACAGAACTCCCAGGGGACAAGCTGACTAATCCCCCTTCACTGTAATTAAAGCGTTTGGGGGTGGGTGACCGGTGTGGGAGAAGGAGAGAAGAGGAGAGAGGAAGGAAGTGCTAAATGGGATTTCCAAAGGCAGGCTCTTCCATAGAATTCAGAAGGCCACATTTGCTGGAAAATGAACACTGACCCTCTCTAAAAGGATTTGCTGGAAATTTAATTTGGCATCTGTGGCTAAAAGGCACCTTTTGTAAATTGGCATTTGTATTCATTCGCCTTCTGCTCCGCAAAGGTGGTCTCATCTGTGTGGAATATGGTGTGTCCACCCTCAGAAGATCACAGAACAGCACGCGGGACCCCAGCCACCTGGACGCACTCACATATCTAAGCAGCTGCAGCCACAGGCAGGCAGGGTTTGGGAAGAGACTCAAATCCATGGTACTGCAAATACTTCTGCATGGTCCTACCATGTGCCGGGCATTGTATGAAGCACTCCCCGTGAGTTAGTTCAGCCCGCAGAATGGTCTTGCCCATTTTATAGCTGGTAGCACTGAGGCTTAGAATGAAATCACCGCTCCAAAATCAAAGTCAGAAAGCCAGAACCAGTGCCAGTATTAGATCATTTGGCCTCCGAGCCGGAGCTCACATCACCCAGACGGGTGAAAAGCAGAAGACCATGGGGTCAGATGAGCCGAGCAAGGAGACACCCGAGCTTCCACATGACGCAGAAACTCTGTGTCATTACCCTCACAACTTAAAATGGTAGAACGTGGTTAAATAATTTCCCTTCTCAGTCAGAGGATTTGAGCCATTCTTGGCAATTTCCACGCCAAATCTGATGATGTTCGTGGTTAATTTTTTTTTAAAACGGTACTTAGTAAGCCAGCGTGATAGTCCACAACTGGCCTGTAATTTCTGGTGCTCCAAGGGTAAGATGAAAGGTAGAGACAGGAGAGCCCCTAGACACTCACGAGCCGGCTAACCTGCCTTACACAGTAGCAGACAATGGAGACTTTATCTCCGACACAAAGGAAGGCAAGGACTAACACCTAAGTTGTCCTCTGACCTCCACCTGTGCACACCCATAGTCACACACTCACGTGCACACACACCACACACTCATGCACAATACACACAGACACGCAGACAAACAAAAAGTGTGGTTAGCATCTGGAGCAGCTGCCTCATTTTATCTTCCAAGCAGGGAGTGAAAGATGACTTTAAAGAATCTATCTAGCTTGACCCTGCTGTCATTTCTGATAAATAATATCCCGAACAGAGCGGGGCCGAGCCTGTCCCCTGCCCAGGGCTTTTCTGGATTAAGGCTCCATGTGGCTGCTGTATCAGTTGAGGTCACTACTTTTCTGTGACCCCCCACTTAGGAAGGGAGAAGGTCTCAGAAAGATGTTCCGAGGGATAGAAACATCTGTAGCAAGATTGAGAAGAGCGGTCATTTGGGGCTGGCCCCCTGGGGCTGAGAAAGACTCACTTAACACAATCTTCAAAAGGGAAGCCTCTAACTTTTTGGTTAACCCAGAAATGAAGTGTCTGATGTAAACCTGGGTATGCCCAAACCCCATTCTCTTAAACTCTTACCCTCAATTGGAACTAATGGGAACTTGCTCTGATTTAGCCCCTTCTGAGACCCATGCTCGAAGTCATCTCTGTCGTCTTCACATCGTTTTATTACTACCAGACAGGGCACAGAAAAGGCAAGCTGGTTAACTGGCTGAGTCTCCTGGTCTCCTGGCAAGAATAGAATCCCCTCCCCTCAGCCCACTCTACAGGACAGGCTGCCCTGTGCTACCCCTACCCCTCACAGAACCACTATGCTATTTGCCCAGGCACCTCTGCTACCTGGCAGGGGCTGGCAGGAAAATCCATCGTCTCCTCCAGCTGTTTAGGAAATGATAAGCAATATTCCCTCTGCTCTTGGCACAAAGTGAGGTGTTTCCCTCTGGCTTGGAACTTTAACCACGGTGCCCTTCCTGGATTCAGAATCCAGGCTTAGGGGAGGCCATGCTTGCATTAGCTCTGAGGGTTATTACTTGAAAACTAAAGGGGAAACCTTATAGTTTCTGTGTCTAGGGCCTTGGAGTTTCTGAAGGTGTATGTGGCTTAATCTGAAATTCAAAAAGTACTTACTATCTACAGAAATTTTTAGCAAAAGAAAAATTAATTTGGGGTTCATTTAATCCATCTGAAATGCTCAGATTTGGGGTAGCCAAGCCCCAGTGGACTTGGCCTGCTGAGGTCCTGCGCCCACTGCACAGAAGCCTCATCCAGCGTGCAGCCCGAGTTAGCTGCACTTGGCTAGTATTTGGCAATGTTGACCTTGGCGATAAGTGGGATGTAGTCAAGGGCCCTCCAGTTCTGTCATTATAGTGTAGACATGATCCAAGCCGCTTCTCTGGGCTGCCACGCTGTATTAATGGGCCCGACACGGGGCTCTCGACAGTCCCAAGGGAACAGCTGGCTGATTAGCGTGTTCAGAATTACCTATTGGGAACCGACAACGCAACCTGAGTCTAACGCTCCTGAAACTCATGCAGCACAGTTCCAGCAACTGCAGGGAATGTGGAAGGTGGAGATGATGGCTTGAAGTCCTTACGGAGGGCCCTCCACAAGTTCCCAAGTTTCCTCAGTTTGCCTCCTGGCTCATAAGAGGAAGTTCAAGTCACTGAGCCAGAGGAGATTTCCCCTTGGAAGTAGGACAGGCGGACCCAACTAGGGACTCCTATCCACTGAAGAACAAGGAACTGATCTGGAATCCCAGGTCCCACTGAAGAATCGTAGTCTAGAAGACGACTTCTTCCCAGAGGCATCTAGGTCAGTGAGAGTGGGAAACCACCAGGTAAAACAGATCTTGGCACGGAGAAGGCAGGACTATGGAGAAAGTGTAAGGGATTCCAAGACCCTGCTCAGAAGACAGGAGGGTAGAGAGAAAGAATGTCCTCCAGAAAGCCTCTTTCTCTGTGCCCCCTCACCCTGCCCTGGGTGCACAGTTGGCACTGGCTTTAGAGCTCCCCCACTTTTCATGCTGTGGGATCACAAAGGCCACTTAAGAGGCGATGAAGGAGAGGCAGAGAAAGCTGTAGCAGATCTCAGCCACACGGCCCAATAGAGCCGGAGGGGATGCAGAACTCTGTCTAGGCTAGCTGTCGGTCCTATACTCCCATGTGGCAGAGTCACCCTCTCTTACTCACACCAGGATGGCTGGTGTCATTCTCTGCCATCACACTGTAGTGATGTCATCCTCCCTCCCCTCTGGAAAGGAAAAGAACAGAATTACTATTATATCATTGAAATTGCTCCAAACTTCCAGGACCAGAACTATTGACTATTACCTACCCTTGAAGATATTAGTGGTTTCTGATTTTCTTCCTGTGCATAGGGGTCAGGAATGCTGCGCTGGGCTCAGGTAAATTATCATGCTGGGGCCGGGGACACCAGAGGTCTCGCCCACTCTCTTCTCCATGTAATGACATCTCTCTCTATCTATCTCCCAGGCGTCTCCATTCCAACCATCTGTACTGTGATTGCCATTTGGCCTGGCTGTCAGATTGGCTGCGACAGCGGCGGACAGTTGGCCAGTTCACCCTCTGCATGGCCCCTGTGCACCTGCGAGGCTTCAATGTGGCAGATGTGCAGAAGAAAGAGTATGTGTGTCCAGGTGAGCCTGCCTTGCCCGATCTCCCCTCCTAGGCTAAGATCTGCATGCCCATCAGGATCCTGATCCTGAGCACATTCCTCCCAGGGGTTGATATGGAAGGAACCCCCCAGTCAGCGAAGAGATGCAGTAATGGGTTGAAGAGCTTGCATTCTGCAAGGGGTTCAGAGAGAATCTGTTGACATCTGAAACAGAAGATGCTGGAAGAACTCCTGAATCACTCTCTGTGAGCCCCATAGCCCCCTGGCACTAGGAAACCTCAAATCTGATGAGCAGCATGCCATCAGGATGCAGGTATAATGTAGGTGCCACCTAAATGCCTATAGAAATGGGGAGATGTAGGGCTTGGACGAATCCAGTCTAGCTAGGAGTCCTAGTTCTGATGTGTGATTATGGCAAGTTATCCCTCACCTGAAATAGAAATAACGCTGGAACACAGCTCAAAGAATGAGTGGGAAGATTAGGGAAAATAATGAGTATAGAACACTTAGCATAATGCTTGTTAAGAGCGAGATAAGTGAAGTTTGATGATTATAGCTTAGTGGGCCCGCAGGATGTGCTGAGCAAACATAAGGGCTTGATCTGTGGGTGACTGGGGTGTCATAGAGGCTCAGATTGCCTACATAGCACTCGGAATTGACGCACACAGGCACCGAAGTCAGATCTCCAAAAATGGCAAGTGAATGAGTGACCCAAGATCTTCCCAGAGGGCACAGCTTGTAAGCCAGATCCCAAACTTTTGTTTGCTTCTGTTTACTTCTACCAATGGCAAAGAAGTAGAGACAAGTCCTGGGTTTGGGGAGGAGGGAAGAGAGAAAGCACACACACAACAATTCCCCGAGAGTCATATAGGTTCCAGGAAGCCAGCTCTGGATTGGAGTCCCATGACTTCTAAAAGGCTGAGTCAGTGTACACAAGGAGCCGACTTTGCATTTCTTTCTCCTGCCCGCTATTACCCACTTTCAGTGCTGTCCTCGGATGCTTTCTTCTGCTGTGCTAAAACATCAGGCAGAAGCAGCTTGAGGAGGAATGGATTTAGTTCATCTTACGGCTTACAGTCCATCACTGAGGGAAGATAGGACAGAACTCAAGGCAGGAACGGAATCCGACGCCGTGGAGGAGCCCTGCTCACTGACTTGCTCCCCATGGCTTGCTCAGCCTCCTTTCTTATATAACCCAGGAACACCTGCCTATCAATCTCTAATTAAGAAAATGCCCCCACTAACTTCCTTATAGGCCAATTCTAATGAAGGTAGTTTCTCAGTTGAGTGTCTCTCTTCTCAGATAGCTCTAGCTTATGTCAAGTTGGCCAAAACACACACACACACACACACACACGCATATTATGCACTCGCATGCACACACGTGCACGCACGCGCACACACACATACAAACTAACTAACCACCATGGTACTAAGGGCTTAACAAACTCAATTAACAAACATCCAGGCCCCAGGATGCCCAGACTATAGACTGGGTGGGTGAACCATTCAGTTCCTGAATTCAGGGTGCCCCTCCTCTCTCTGCCCTGCTCCTCCCCCCACCCGACCTTGTGCTTCATCACGTTATTTAGTCTTCGAAAACAGTTTAACACATCCCTAAGTAGTACCTCAATAACTTCCTATGGACGCCCACTTAGAAATCACTTCCCATCAAACACATATAATAAAACCGTTTATCACACAGGCACCGGATTCAAATATAGTGACTATAATTACAGTAATTATCAGGCAAAGGGTGCAATATCGGCATAAGTGCCAGTGAAAGAAATAATTACAGAGTGCAGGAGCCATCCAAGAGCTACTGAGGAAAACTAATTAGACAGAATGTGAAAACACTACATGACAGGTGGGTGCGCGGGAAGTGGCATATGACCATGGATACGTCCCTGTCATGAGAGCTGCCTCCTGCCAGCACACTGCCCAGGCCCTGCTTATCCAACAGCAGCCAGAACCCAAGCCCCAAGAGAAGAAGGTCGCCTGGCCCCCAGTCCTAGAAACGCTAGTGCCTGAGCCCTACCTAGCCCTTTGAAAAGCCTAGATCTAGCAGCAGCCTCCTTGGCTAAATGCAGGAAGAGAACAGCCTTATCTCTTCCCTGCTTATGGCAGCCACGCCCACTGCACGTGAGGGTCCTTGTCATTTCTGTCATGAAGCCAGATGTCTTTTGAGGACATGAGAACGGCCTTCCTCCTCAATCTCTAGACATTCATAAGTTATGAATCTTGCCCTGTCTCCAGTAGTACCAACTTAGGGCAGTAATTCAGAGGGACTCCCCTAGGTGCAAAGGGTTATTTTGGTGGCTCGTCAGGTACCCAGGGGTTAAAACATAGACTGTTCTGAGCTTTAAAAAAGGTCAAAGTTAGTCACAGTGCTTGGGGGATCTTGCGTATTGAGCCCCTGTGAGGAATGGACAGTACCATGGCAAGTGAGAAATGAGAGGTACAGGCACCACAAGTGTTGCCTCTTCTGTATGATAGGTAGTTTATAAGATTCTGATAAGGGATGCTAGAGAAAGCAGTATGGAACACGGCCATTAAGACAGCGGTGACCAGTCTGGGAGGCCCTGAGAGGAAGGTCACAGAGAAGGACTATCTTAGATCCTTGCCACCCTTGCATGCTCCACCATGGAGGGTATAGACCCACCCACCCCAGGCCAGAGCCCGACAAGGCATCCGAGGGAGGCTGCCTGGTATGGACCTAGCAGGGATGGTCTAAAATTGCCCAGATACAAATCGAACAGCTCACTTAGGGCCCTTCAGTGAGGGACGAAAACTTCTGAATGATGCGGATGGTCCCTCAGGAGCAACAAGCACAGGGAGCATCAGTTAAGTCTCCTGTGCCTGTAGCTCCAACCCCAGAGCGCCCTGTCAAAGCCGCAGGAGAAAAACTCCCATGGTAGCTAAACCTTCCCCGAAACACAGCTCCAGAGATAGGGCGGACCTTATCTCACTTAGCTGGGAGGCCCTGCCTGCCCAAGTCCCTGATAGCGCCCTTGAATTAAATCCAGCCATCCTGAGCCTGGCCTCCCCTCACCCCCCAGGAGCCTTGGGGACGGACACATTATCTCTCCAGCTAACCAGAACTCAGCCAGCAGCACACTTAGCAAAATGCATCTCCTGTCAACTGTACCCTTGCAGTCTAAGACATTCATTTCCTCCCTCTGGGGAGGCAATTGGGATTTTTTTTAGCCAGGGTGAAGGGACTGCATCTCTATTTTATCTTTTATCAGAGTATCTTCTGTGTGGTACAGCCTGCCCTTCTGGGCTGCCTTCAGTGACTACTAAAGGATTTCTCTGTCAGCATCTTTTGTTTCTAGAGCCTGAGGGCTTTAAGGACCCACAGGCCATGTTTCATCTGCTTGTCCCTTGGAACATATCAGAATTTTATCAAAGTGTGTAATACATTAGAAAAGGGTTAGTGTTATATGATTTGTAAGGTGTTTTTTTTTTTTCATCTTCATTTAATGGTCTTATTTGGGACTTCATATTCTAAGATTTATTTTTCCATGTGTTTCTTTCCTGATACCTTAATCTCAGAGAATTCCTACCTGTCATTATTCATAATTTATGGCTATTTGTTAACTATTTGACCTCCTGAATCAATTATCTCTTTCCTTTGAATGTCTTTGAGCCCATTGATCTGTCTATGCACTTCAGACCTGTGGCCTTGAATATGAAATATCTTTTCATAAGGATACCAATCTTATCTTCCTGTAGTAAAGGACAAATCTCATTTTTTTTCCAGGTGCCCCTAAACAATGCTGAATCCCAACAGCCTTTTCATAAATTTTCTCTTTTACCGTTTGAAAATAAAATACACTTATCTCCCTGGAAACAGTAACTTTCTTTCATTCTCTTTTTCTTTCTTCCTATTTGCGACTAGTTACTAAGTATAAAGATAATTAAGGTAGGCTGTGTCTTGCCACCCCTCTCCTTAGGAGGTTTTAATTAAAATACCATAATTGAACATTGCAGGAATGAGATTATTAGGTTTATTTAGCCATTTCCAAAATTATCATGCCTCTGGTATTTAAATCATGTTCATTTATATTCTCATCGTAATTGCTGGAGTTCCTTTGTCACTGAAGTCTGGTGTTGGCTTTTGAAAGGCCAGAGGCCAGTTGGGAAGCTTAATTTGAATACTGGAATTAATTTATTTCAACATACTCACAAGGCCATTGGATATTTTTACTCTGTACTCTACTGGGTGATATATTTTCTTTAATCAGAAGAAAAGAAACAAGAGAGTGTTCGCCCCTCGCTAGTGTAGCTTGCACGGTCCGTGTCTTGGTCCCTTCTCCTACCTCCTGAAGTTCCCAGACAACATGGATTTTCAATTCTGTAGCTATAAAGAGCAGCATTTTAGGTGGTGTTATTTTTTTCCCCCTCAGAAGAGACAGAACAGTGCTCGTTCACACATGAGAATCGGCTCTGTGATCTTAGGTAGTTTCTTTAACCTTCATACTCTGCGGGTCCTTCATCAGTGTGATGGGAATGACAGAGGCAGAGTTTGGCTCACAGGTCCACTGAGGATCAAGTGGTGTCATATATCCAGAGCACTGAATGCAGCGTAGTCTTCATCTCTTGGGTGCTGGCTGCTGTTACAAGAAAGGTGATCATTCTTGGTATCTCCATGGGCCCATCCGAGAAAAAAAGCAGCAATCTTCGTCCATCATCTGGGAAGACGAGTATGGGCCTTGCAATTTTAGACCGTCCTCTTTTGCCAGTTAGGAGGAGAGCAAAGATGGAGTGATATCTGAGCAGGGCCAGCTGAAGTTTGTATCATGTAAGGAAGGGCTGGTGCCTCCATTGTCCCGTGCACTGCTTTCCTGTACCTCAAGACACCAGACCATGCACTGGGAAAAGGGCTTTGCTAGCACTGAACCGTAGTAGAAAGAGTGAACCTCAGGAAGAGGTCCCTATTTCCACGGCCACTCCGTCTCCTACTACGCCCAAACCCACCTGCCAGAGCTGGGGGACACTCAGAACTCAGGGAGCCTTCCTTGGGGGCACCCAGAAGTAACTCCCACCTCTGTAGCTCGGGGACATTACCATCCCCACCTTTTCCAGGCCCCTAACCCAGTTCATTCATGTGCCCATCCTTAGTCTCCAGAATGTGTCTATTAAGTTCATTCTGTACCCAGACCTTTTTTAGGCAGTGAGAATATAACAGTAAGACTGAAAAAGGTCATTGCATTATAGAATTTACATTCTCAGCCTGCACAGAGACAGCAAAGGGCTGGGACTTCCGCCATCACTTACAGACACCCAGGCCTTTAGGGCACTGGACCTGGTTCTTCAGTCCCCTCACCAGAGGGATGTGCTTGCCAGGGAGGGAATCTGTCTTTCAATCAGATTGAAACTTAAAGTGTTTAAACAAGGGGTATTAGCCTCCCCAGCGGAGGGTGGTGAATGCCTCCCAGGGGAGCTGCCAGCCTAGGGTGCTGACAGAGGCTATAATTACCACCATTCTCTCTGTGTAATTAAAGGTGTTGTTAGTGACCTGGTTAAGGAATCCTTTTTAAAGCTTCCTTTTTTTCTTTTTGCCTTGACAACATGCCTTGAAACATAGCGTGTCCCGATATCGGACTCAGAACCACCCAGGGAAGACCCAGCCGGTTCCCAGGGGACTGCTACCTGAGTCTGGTTTTAGAATTCATTCGTTGCAACGTGAAGTCAGAGGGAACCTTTGAAAAACTCCATGTCACAAGCTCCTGTTGCCAACAGGAGCCCTTGAATTTGATGCCTCCCCCTATTGTAGCTTTTCTGACGCATACTCTGCAAGTAATACTTTGCCTGATCAAAAGAGGGACGATCCTCAGATCCACCTGCCTGAATGGGTGGAGCTGCTAGACACAGACCAGCATTTCCCCCTACAGGAAGATATCCAGGGTGCAGTAGATCCCCTAGCCCAGTCAAGTTCATTTACCCCTTGATGTAGAAGGCCTGGCCTGGCAGTTTTCCTTAGGGGAAAGTCATCTACACTTCAAAAGCCCTGGCATGGGAGGCCAGCTGTTTGTTCCCAGGCTTCCTCCACGTTGGACCCTTTGTATGCTTTCCGGGAAGAAATGAGAATAAAATACACTTCGAGGTGTCCCTCGCCCCCAGCATTCATTGTTCTGAAGGTCAGATGGCTTCCCAGCCTCAGAATTCATGCCTTTATGACTCCTCATCTGCAGAGATAGGAGCAGAAAAACTCAGCTCTGCTACTTGCCCGAAAGCTCTCAGACAAGTGAAGGCAGCAAAAGCACCACCAGCAATGACTCCGACACTAGGAAGCCCTTGCCCTACCAGACATCTTCTAAACAGTCCTTATCTGTGTACCAACTGCCTCTGCTTCACAGCAAAGCCGTGCTATAGGTTAGGTACCGTGATTGTCCCACCCCCACTGTTTTACAAAGGAGGGAAACTGAGAAACAAAGAAAGAAGATTAAGGTCCAAACCTAGTCCGTGGTACTCCACCACTGCCAGCCACAGCCACACACCTGGCGGCTCCTGGCCCCAGGCTTCTCCAGGTTGGCTTTCTGCTTTATCACTTTCTGAGAAATAGAAAGACTTATGTCAGTTTGCAGCGAAGCCAGATTCTCTCCTCTCTAAGAGCATGTTTGAGTTTGGGTGTTAGTGTAAGTCATGAGCTGTGTGACCTGTTCCATGGTCCAGTTTGGGTCCTCGAGAATGTCAACTGTGTCTCTGAAGACCTGGTTACCTAGACATTTCTTTAAGGTTTTTTATTTTGTGTGTTGGTGAGCTTCTACAGAAGGGAGGCCATGGGCACTCCTGGATGTGAAGTGTGGGATTCTCCACTTAGAACCCTGGTGTCCAGATGAGGGCTTGCCCCAGGCAACCACTCTGACAAGACTCACTCAGGACTCGGTTTCCCCAGTGAGCACAGACCAAACCAAAAGTCATTGTCCCCTGCTTATGTTCCATGTTTGAGCAGTGAGCAGTGTGCATCGTTCTTCTGCCCTTGCTTCGCTCAGAAGGAGATACAGAAAGACATTGAGATGCCAGTTACTAGCTGCATCCAAAGAGCACAGGCCAAGGACCCAGGATGCCACTGGTCTGGGTCCACATGTGAAAACAAACCACATATTTGAGATTCTTACCACACTGGGAGGTGGTGATCAAAGCAGGAAAATTTTGTCAGTGTCCTTAAAACATTTCCATGTGTTTCTTACATTTAGGGCTTAACATGACCACCAAAGGAAGTCATGAGGGATCTTGAGAATTCTTTGAATCCTGAATTGAGTTAGTAGCAAAATCTATCTATGTTTGGTCTTCAGACTAAACTCCTGAGATACCATTTGCTTAAGCTTTTAATTACATTTAAAGGTACACTGATTCTCAGCTCAAACAGAATGAAAAACTGAATCCAAAATACATAGTAACTTCTTCACCTCTTACCTAGTAAGTTTAATTTGACTTTTCTCTGGACACAAAAGTCAGCTTGATATGGCTTGGGTGTCACTGCTAGTCAATGCACTGATATTTTGACAAGGTCAATGTTGCAATTGGAGAAATTCTGCCACTTTTTAGCCTCCTACTTGGTTGTGACACCAGTGGCTTTCAGCCCTAGAATGGGAGTTGTGTCTGCCATCAGATGTAAACAAAAACCCCAAAGTATCATTCAGATGTGCTGGTCGTAGTTCCATGTGTGGTGTATGCTCTATACTCTCTGTCTATAGAGGAAGCAGCATTATGGGATAATGAAGCAGATGAGATGATCCCCAAACAGTTTGGTTAAGGTCAAAAACCTCTCTCTTGTCTCCCAGAAGAGGGAGATGCCCGCTGATGGTAATTCACCCTTGGGAAGCTGTTCAGGAGACTCAATGCCAGGAAGCTGCTAACACTGGCACAAGTTGACCGTTATGTTCTGGCTTCCCAGGTCCCCACTCTGAGGCTCCGTCCTGCAATGCCAACTCCCTGTCCTGCCCTTCCGCATGCACATGCAGTAATAACATCGTGGACTGCCGAGGGAAGGGGCTGACAGAGATCCCTGCCAACCTGCCAGAGGGCATCGTGGAAATGTAAGTGTCCGTTTGTCGTTCCTCCATCCCTAGTCAGCTCACCCCTCTGACTCAGCCAGGCCATTAAAAACACCCAGGAACCTCTTCTCTAGGGCTCTAGGTTTTCATCGGTGTCATGGCTCAGTGCTCAAGAACATGGACTCAAGAATAGTGTTATCAAACTACAGCCTGTAGGAGATACACCTAACATCTATGTTACAAATAAAGTTTAATTGGGACACATGCTTCCCTGTTTGTTTACACTCTCTTTGGCTGGTCCCTCGGGGCAATATGGAGTAAGTACTTATGGCCCAAATATCACACAGTGCACACAGCCTAAAATGTATTCTATCTGGTTCTCCTCAGCAAGCTGTCAGTCCCTGCCTGGGGTCAGATGGAGTCTGTACCCTGGATCTTCTGCATTCTGTCTGGCTGGGTGGCATTTGGTGAACTAGTTCTCCGTGTTTTTTCTTACCGCTGATTTTCAAACCTGCTAAGTGTAGTATTACGTGTCAGGGATCTCGGTGAAAACGAGGTGAAGTACTGTGTGTGAGCGCTTAGTGAAGACGTCCATAGGGGCAGGGAGCTAGGAAGGAAAATGCTGAGCTGTATGCATGGCTGTTTATCGTTCCTATGAGACCTTTGTCCTTTAGATTAGCTCTTCAGGTAAAGAGACGAGATTGTGCATGTCTATGCATGTGCACAAATGTGAGACCCCGCAGTAAGATGTGTCCGTATGACTCAGCCTTGTCCGTGTTCCCTCGTGAGTTAGAACGCAGCCATTGGCTCATTCTAGGATGAGTTGAGTATCGGTTCAGCGTTGGCCTCAAGCCGGCTCTTAGAGGGTCACAGCAGCTTTCGTGTCCTGTCTTTACCATTGGCACTTGATGGAGGCTTCTAAACAACATGGGATGAAATCCCTCAGAATGAAAGTCCCAGAGTCCCTTGCCTATCGGCTGCATAATCGCCTCCTGCTTGGTCTCTGCCTCCACCTCCCCTGTTCAGACACTTCTGTTCCCAACTCCTTCCAATCCGGGGTCCATTCACCACTTTGTCTGTCTGTGTGTTTGCACAGCAGTTGGTCTGTGCTCCAAGAGACAGGCAGCAAACAGTGTTAGACAAGATATCTGCCATTGTGGCCTGTGTATTCTAGAGAAACCAAACAATAAAGGAATTCAAACGACATGTCAAAAAGTGGCTGGTGTGTCGAGAAAAGTGAAGCCAGGAAAGGAGCTGACACAAACGGAGGGGGTGGCAAAAGTGACTTCTGGCGTAAGATTGGCAGAGGTAGCAGGAAGGTTGTGTGCAAAGGCCCTGAGGTGCAGGTGTGTCTGGCACACCAGGAGGCCATGGTGACCGAAACAGAGGAAACAAGGGAGGTAGAGGAGCTAAGGTCAGAGGGGAAACGGGGGCCAGATCATGGGGCAGTTTATAGACTTTGGTTGCAGCGTGGTTGAGATGGGAAGAAACACATGGCTCACACCAGTGGAGTCCTGGTTTGCTCCTCTTTCATCTGCTTGACCAGTGTTCCTCTGAGTCTCTGCCCCAGCCCCCAGAGGGCACAGGTTTGTCTGTGCCACTTACTGCAGGCAGAAGCTAATGAGTGGGGAGGGCTTTTTGCTGTCCACACCCTGTGAGGTCATCGCACGTGCTCCCCACTGCCTTCCAGCAATCACAGTCTGCCATCGTCCCTGTCCACAGTGCTGTGCCCTAGACCTGGAGAGAGCCCTCTCCTGGAGTGTGCAGAGCCCTGGCCCCTCTCCCCTTCTGGCTTCTTTCTCTTGTCCATCTGTTCCTGCTTTTCTCTTCCTGTGCCACGTCCCCTTCATCATTGGCTCTCTTCTTGGTTCATTTCCCTATTTCTCCCCATCCCCATGATGTCCCACATCTCTCCCACTGCTCTGTCTTCCTCTGCCTTGTTAACTCTGTGCTCTTCTTCCTCAGAGGCCTCTGCCCATGTCAGGTGGACCTTTGGCTCTCTCGAGATGGGTGTTCTGGTGAGAACACCTGCCCACCACCACATCTTTGCAGATTCCCACTGCACAGCTCCCTCCTATCTTCTTCGGGTCTTCTCTCCTTCCACCTGCCAGGTTTTATATCTTGTCCTTTGGCACCTGGAGACCTTCCTCTTGGCCAAGACACTAACTCACAGCCTGAAGGAAGAGGCCAAGTTAAACTGCCAGACTGTATCCAGGGACGCTGCCCCATCTCTGTCTGTATCCCGTTCTTTCCAGCTTCCCATATGTCACCAAGTGTGGACTTTACAGGTCAGCTCAGGTCTCCAAAAGTTCAAAACTGTAGGTGCCTGTATTAAAAGTGTCCCCTATACCGGCCAGACCACACCCGGATGATTGGACTTGTTTGGACACTGACTATTAAAACAAACGCTGACAAACTAATATGTTAATATGAGATGATTCCTGAGTTCTTAACCACTGTAAGTTAAAGGGACAAAGTCAAGAACAATGTGACAGGGTTTTTTTTTTTTTTTTTGAGGAAACGTGTCCTTTTAAGATGCATCCTTTAAAATTCCAGGCTTCCTTCTTTTTGCTGTTATCAAAAATACCATTTATTTTACAAAATGTTGGGCACTGCAGACAGAGTATGTGTATGCATTATATAATACTCATACATAAAGATCGCCTTTTCTTGATAATTTATAAAAAATCTCTAGTGACCTAGTAAAGCAGAAAGTCCAGGAATGGACAGCCTAAGTAGAATGTTTCCAAAGATGAACAACAACCACGTGGTGGTTATGATGGTATGGTCCAGCAGACCTCGCCAAAACCGCCTGTAGGTTAAGGTGGTATGCTCCAGCAGACCCCACAGCAACCAAGTGGAGGTTAAGGTGGTATGCTCCAGCAGACCCCACCACAACCACATGGAGGTTAAGGTGGTATGCTCCAGCAGACCCCACCACAACCACGTGGAGGTTAAGGTGGTATGCTCCAGAAGACCCCACCACAACCCTGTGGAGGTTAAGGTGGTATGCTCCAGAAGACCCCACCACAACCCTGTGGAGGTTAAGGTGGTATGCTCCAGAAGACCCCACCACAACCCTGTGGAGGTTAAGGTGGTATGCTCCAGAAGACCCCACCACAACCCTGTGGAGGTTAAGGTGGTATGCTCCAGAAGACCCCACCACAACCCTGTGGAGGTTAAGGTGGTATGCTCCAGCAGACCCCACCACAACCCTGTGGAGGTTAAGGTGGTATGCTCCAGCAGACCCCCATGCCACCTCTGACCTTGCCTTGTAGCCACTGGCACCTAACTTTTCTGAGTCTTTCTTCTCTCACCTGAGAACTGCAGTGGCTGGTGGCACTTCCTCAGGGCTTCATAGATGCCATGTACTGCAAGAAGCTTGGCATTGTGTCCAGCACAGCAGAGATACTGGTTGCGATCATCATTATGTCACAACCACAGCTGCTGCAGTAGTGCCACCCCTTTCATTCTTCGTGGTGACAAGAGTCAGAATAGCATATCCCAGGAGGCACCTACTGAACAGGGGCCTCTGTGAAGACTAGTCGGTTCTTCAAAGAGTTATGGGCACGAGGATTGATTGTAGGCAGAGGCTAGCCACATACGGTATGGCTTGAACTTGAGAATAGCTCATCTTCATGCAAATATATGCAGACATGGTAATAAGGTTGCCCCTGCTTATTGGGCACCCACCGTCTGCCAGATGGATCACACAGGACTTCTCTCACTGCGCTTGCCTCTTTCTCCTCTGTCATGAAACGCAGCTGAGAGATTAAAGCAGATGAATTAAGTCCCCGTGGTTCGGGGTAGTAGTTTGAACGGTGATCTGTAAGAGAGAGTGTGCCATAGGAAGCTCCAGCAGTGCCCGGGCTTGGGGACCTGTGTACGAGCCCAGAGTCCCCCAGGCAGCTAAAGTATGTCCTTGTAGTGGCGATAGAACACCAGCCGGTGAGCGATGAGAGGGGAGAAGAGGAGCAGAGTTGCATCAGCAGGATGCAGCTTGGCAGAAAAGGTGTGTTTGGTTTTTTAGCCCTGAGACGTCGGAACTTAGCCTTCTCTTTAATATCAAGAATTAAACCTCTTGCCAGTGGCCACCTAGAACCATATTTCCATCTCCCCACTTAGGAATGCTTGGCATGGTACCAGACTCTCCGCTTCCTTTCCTCAGTCTGTAGCCATTTTCAGATTCTTTTAAATCATCTTAACCTTGGGAACAGTCCACACTCCTGACATTTGGAAGGAATGCCTATCTCTCATGCAAAGCAACCTGGCAGGCTCTCTTCGATTTTTTTTTTCATCAGAGAAGTGTGTGCTGGTCTCCTCGCATGCCAGAGCCAATTTCTCTAAAAATAGCTTTCTTCCAGAAAACCCACAGTGAAAGGGTTCGCTGTAGATTTTCCTCGAAACTCAGCTTCCATCAAGGGCACTGTTCACGTAGCTCCCTGGTGTTTCTCTGAACCAGCTCCAGCCTCCAGCAGGAAAGATTCAAGGAAGAACCAGAGGTCCACACACTTTTCTGTTCTCAGTCCCCAGACTCTCTCCTGGGCCTTCAAATGCTCTAGAGGGACCATCTGTATGAAGGGTACCTTCTCATTCTCAGCTCCATTTCCTCCACGCTTGCTCTGAATCCCCATGTGGTGTCCTCTAAGGTCTTGTGTCCTTTGCTGTGGAAGGAAAACGGATTTGATGGGAAAAGGCTGCAGGTGGGCTTCAGCATGAAGCTGTAAGTGGACATCTGGAAGGAACACACAGCCCCAACATCAACCTCACAGTCAGCTGACATGAGGAGACCCTGGCCTAGCTAGACTCGAGGCTTAGAAAAGTTGTGCGATTAAAAAAAAATGACCAGTCAACCAACCGAATAGCCAGAACACTCTAGAAGTCAGACATCTTAGACACCTAAATGTTCATGAGCACCAGATTTCTGAAGCACTGGCCTGGCTGGGGGTGGGGGTAGGATACAGGGACGGGAGCAGATGCTGGCAATATGGAGCAAGTGATCCGGACACAGATGGCTCAGACCCTTGGGGTCAACAGTCTTT